AGTTAGTACACCAAATTACAGGAAAATATCACCATGCAGTGGTAAGAATGTAAATGTGATTTCATCTAATATAATCATATTTTATTTTATTTTGATTTTACTTTCAAAGACATACACATACTGTAAACTGCATTATTTACACAAAATGTAGGACAAATCTTCATGCATTTCATGAGGCTGGGAAAATAGTTAAATTTTGTAGCAGTGAAAATGTAAATGAGAGTATCCTCGAGAACCGCAGTGACTTCTGCACTGTGATGTCTAGACTGGCGTAGATTAATTTGTTTTTGTAGTTTAAATAAAATATAAAAATTCGCGAAATGTAGCACGAAATCCCATGTAAATGCGAAATCTGGTTTATTCTGCATGGCCCTCTATCGACACTGCAGGAACCCGTCGATTTTTCAATGGATAATTATGTTAATGAGTGTTCTAATTGACAATCATCTAAGCCAATCACAACGTCTCTTTAACTAATCGTGAAGACGTCGTCTGATTGTAGCATCCAATTTTTTTTAATTCTACAACTAGTATGAGTTACTTTTTCACACATTGTGATGAATTAGAAACGACGACTACGACAAACTCGAATTTCAACGTGCCGCCATGTTTGGTCGGCAGTGTAACCTTTACCATGTTGACCTCATTATTCACGTATTTCCGCGCCCACCTCATTATAATATGTGCATTCATGAATATTTAATAGCAATGAATTTCCTGCAGAATAAACCAGTCACGGTGATTTCGCACTAACACCTCCATTTTGCGAAATTTTTTATTTATTTAAACTACAAAACAAATTAATCGCCCGACTGCGCCAGTCTAAGTGATGTCCTCATGAAAACAATTACTGTTATCTACATATTGTTACATGTTACATAATTTTCTGTCCATGTGTCAAGAACAGAACAGAATGACAATTATTAGTTTAACATCTCCATTTTGATGTTGGTTTCCAATCAGATAATGATCTCTTGATGCACATAACAAATTAAGTAGTCATGTTTTTAGTGAATTAAACAATACGTAGGCGATGATCGCGATTAATCATGACAATTTTGAGCAGTGAAAATTAAGCAGTTTACAATACTTTCAAATTGTTATTACCGGTATTACTATTATTTTAAATAGGTAGGTATGAGTACTAGATATAAACAAGCAGCCTCTGGGCTGAGATAGCTCCGCTGTTAGCAATGCACATTTCACATTAATTACAAAAATATTCACCAAAATTAGATAATTAAAGATATCATCACGAAATGAACTAATCTGAGTGAGGTCTGCCCAAGGTACATATACACCAAATATCTAAGCAATCAGGTTTGCAGTTTTCGAGAAGTCAAAAAAGTAACAAATATAACACAGCCGATGAATGACAACTGACAATCACTCATATGACAAGCTCCACTCGACAGCAGAGCTAAAAACGTTATTTAAATTTGGTTGTTTTGTTATTTATTTTGTTAATAGGTGGATGTGATGAAATAATGACATTAAGAATACTATGTTTGTCATGAAATTATTTTGACAATTCTAAAGCTTCTCGTATATTATTTTGTATCAGCAACAAATAATCCTAGTCAATTTTTTTTTTAAGATTTGCAGTTTTCTGTTAATAACTAAAATTCATTTTATATTTACATAATGTAACTTTTGATCACATACATTATTTAATTTGAATTTATTAAATTGTACTTACGTGAAGGAATAACACATTTGTACCTCACAGCGAGATATTTAAATACTCCGATACACAGATCACTGAACACATCATTGTTGACTTCAATCTCACAGGCAGCATTATTTTCACAACTGTAAAAAAAAAATAAGTCATTCAACAAAATTTTTTGCCCCCCCCCCCACCAAAGCAACTTACCAATAATTTATGAACAGAAATTGTTCAAATAATTGTATTATTTTCAAGACTGATATTATTAAAGGTGTACCATAATGCCACATTACCATTTAATACTTGCCATTTTTCACATAATATTTATATTTTTAATTTAAAATAAAGTAGTTTTGACAATTCACCCCCATCCCCACACACACATCAGATAACTATTTACAATGATAATCCAATTTTACTTTGATAAACAGTTTGCATGTGAGTGGAAAGTGACATAAACTAATTAACCGCATATCCTCACCTGTTTTGAACTACTTGTAATGAGTTCGGGTCACGACAGTTCGTATCTTGATTCTGCTCTTCACTGTTGCATGTGATTTCATCCGTCCGACCATAGTTAGCATAAACAATTTTAAGAACTTTACCATCAAAACACGTCAATGACATTTGATTATTTTCGCACACTACGGTAAAAAATGAGCCATCTTCCTCCGTGACTAACTGTGTCGCTGCCGTTGTCCTTGCTGCAGCTAGAGAGGGTGTTGTCACTGTTGAAAAGGGTGTTACTACAATGATAAAACCAAAACAATATATATGAAATTTGAAATTATAAAATAATTATGAATTTATTCTTTGTTTTCATCATCATTTTGCATCCTTTGCCACATCATCATCCAGGAGTCAATCTAGGAATTTACAGTAGGACAATAATTTCAGCCTCAGTTACCCTGGAAAAGAGTTCAAGAGTCCTTAAAGTGGCAATATGGATGAAAACAAGTATTTTTAATATTGTTTTTTTATACTCTGTACTGTAGACAAGTTGGATTATGATTTATTATACACTAAAATTTGTTAGATGAAAAATCAAAAGCACTAATACACTTAGGCAGTAATTGTTATTGTTATTATAGACACCAATTTTTACAAGCAGCGCACATGTGTATTGGCGAATTCCATTGCTTTATCGATCAAAGAATCAGAATCAGAATCAAAGAATGTTTTCATCTCATGAACATTCTGTGCACATATTTTTATGTCAAATTTCATGGACATATTAATAGAAGTCATTTATCACTAAATAGTAGAAAAAATATTTGAAGAGCCATCACAGACACTGGAATATGAAAATGCTAGTGAATATTTTAGTTAGTACTCTTGTTTTAACCTTTTCACCACCAGACTTTCTCGTCCAAAATTTGTCTGCACTTTTTTCTCATAATTCTTCAATATTTCTGGAAATGAACCCTGATTTTGGAACCAACAGACACAATTTGAGT